GAAGGAAGGAAGGAAGGAAGGAAGGAAGGAAGGAAGGAAGGAAGGAAGGAAGGAAGGAAGGAAGGAAGGAAGGAAGGAAGGAAGGAAGGAAGGAATGTCTCAGAATGATTCTTTAAAAGATCTGTCTCTACTCCTTTCCTGGCTTCTTTTCCAGGGCTGCTGTGGTGGAGTGACCTTGGCCAGCTGCCAGGGGCTCAGCAAACCACCCTCTCACTCCCCCTCCTCCTTCTGCAAGTCAGCTGGGGGAAATAAGATTAGAAACTCACAGGTCAAGGTAAGGACAAGGAGATTACTCACGAGTTATTATCATGGGCAACATATGCAGAAGAGTAATTTACATTTTTTTGCCAGTTAATAGCAGAGGAGGATAAAACACCTTTACTAATACCACCAAGAACTGCTCCAGTTCAGCACCTCATCCTTTCCATTAGGTGCCATTCCTTCAGGAGCTCCACTGTGGCTTTCCATGGACCAGAACCCCTCCAAGGACAGTAATTTTTTTCAGGACACATTTCCCTGCTCCCCCGGGAGCTGCAGGGGCATCTCTGTTCCCGTTCCCTTCGTGGGCTGCAGGGGCTCAGGGGGCTGAGCTGAGCTGCCCCAGGGGACTCAGCTCCAGCACCCGCAGCAGCTCCTGCCCCTCCTGTGCTGCCCTGGCTGTCTGGTTTTCCCACATTTGTCCCACTCCAGTCTCTCACAGCTGCTGTGCAGTGTTTTTTGTTGTCACAGAGCTCAGCTTTTCCCCACAGCTGCTCCATTCTGGAGCTGTCTGGCACAGGGGAATCTCCCTCATCTCAAAGGAGCCACCCCTGCAGCCCACTCACTACCAAAACTATCTGTCTTCTTGGCCTCCAGTGCTTGCTGAACACACACAGCTTTGTACTTGGTCCCCAGTGATCTCCAAGTAAAACAGGAGGCGCAAGCTAAAATTTTTGTTACCCAGATTGTGTGAGCAGTTTGCTTACATATGGTTTTCCTCTTTTCAGTTTTCCTTAACAGTGCTCTGTTAAATTCTGACATTTACCCCTGTGCAAGGGAGGCTGAAGGGAGGCAGGCCTGAAGGCCAGCAAGATGGCTAGTGTTCAATTCTAGTGCTCAGTTTAGTCCAGCTTCTAAATAAGTGAGTCAATGCAGCACTGGCCAAGATAAAGTCTCTATGAAACTGGTCAAATAGGTCACAAACTGAAACAATTAATGCTCGTAATTACCTTACAATGCTGTATTGAGACAATTAACATATATCCATGTTATATATAATTAATTAATATATATAATTATAATATATATATATATTAATATAAAGCCATGTTAAGGGATTTTACCTTTACTAAGGAATTTTATCTCTTTCAATTAATCTGTCAAACTACTTCAGGGTTTTAAATTAAATACAAAATCCAGCCCCTTACCTCTATTTTAACGTGTTCAGGATAATTTTTTTTTACTTTTACTCTTAAACTTGTGTATTACCTGAGGCCACAATATCTTTGGTGAAAGTGAGTGGGGGAATGAAAATGCTGATGGGGAAATGCATCCTTATTTTAACAGTATCAGATAAAGGAAATGGATCAAGACTCTAAACCACGTCAGGCATTCTTGACTCACAGACCAGAGTTTATGAGAATAATGTGTGCAGCTGTGACTTCTGAAAGCACCTCCTGAATCCTGCAGGGAGCTACAGTGCTGATGAAGTATTTCTCTGAGAAAATGCAAGTTTGGCTAAGCTTCTTCTGGGTTTCTAACTCTCTGTTGTAAATTACTTTCATGCAGAACCCAAAATGCAGTGTTGAACCCAGGAACTTCTTTTTTTTTTTGCCAAGACCTCTTCAAGACAGACTTTTCTGTTTATTATGCACAAATTATTATTTTATTATGTGGAGCTTTTCCTTGCGAGAGGCCTCCCTGCTCTGTGACAAATGTGTGCTAGTTCAGCTGCAGGTAATACCTCACCACCCTCAGCAGCGTGCAGGCTATGTATTTCACCCTCATTTCACCAGACCAAGTTTTTTTCTGACCACTTCTGGCAGGCTGCCAGTTTTCAATGCAGTTCTGAGGTTAAAAACCTGGCCATTATGCTCTCTGGTACAATTAGACTTCAAGTTATCTGTCATAAAAACTGACTTTCTTTTTTTTTTTTTAATCCTGTCTTTTGTGAAAAATTTGGGTAGATTAGGTCTTCTGGGAGCTGCGACTGATACTAACTGGAGAACAAGGAGGAAGATTTTGTGAGATCTCTTATTTCAGGATATGTTGTTTTTTCCTTTTTGAGTCTCTATAGGCCAGGAGTGGGTGATAATTCAGGCTCATACAGGTGCTCATTCTGGAAGCAGCTGACCTAAAAAACTGTCAGGAGAGTTTTGCAAAAATCTATTTGTGCGTGCAATCAGTGCTTCTGACAATGGTGTGGAAGTCTGCAACAATAAATAAATAAATAAATAAATAAATAACTTTAGTCAGATTTTTTTTCTCCTCACAGAATATTTATATTCTGATAATCAAGCTCTGGCTGGCTCTGCAGTTCATGTGAGGACATTACCCTGCTTGACACTGAAATGTTCTTATTTCTCACTCATACCTTTGAGGAAATCATACTGCTGTACCTGTAGAAATGGCTGCTCATTTATCAGAGCTCTTGATGTTCTCATTTCAAGGCCAACTCCAAGCAACATCTGCTCCTGTGCTCACAGGAGCTCTCATTAATGCTTGAGAGATCCAAGACCCTGACATGAACAACATGAACAAAGCTGCTTTTTTTTTTTTTTTTTTTTTTTTTTTTTTTTTTTTTTTTTTTTTTTTTTTTTTTTTTTTTTTTACACCTCTGGAACATGGCATTCTGTACAGCAGGCCTTACACAGGAACAGCCCTTCACACCCATGTGCCAGGGAGATCAGAGGAGCAGAACAGCAACTGCAGATATGATTTCCTCAAAATGTTTTTCCCTTGTAACTCATGCCAGGCTAGGATGAAAACAGGTGGAGGAGGAAAAAAAAGTATAATGGACATTAACTTATTTACTTATTTGTTTGTATGCATTGTAAAATCACTTTTTGCTGTTGTTTCCATTTACATCAGAGCATCAGTGAGAGAACAATTAGCCCCTGCTGGTTTACAAAAAAAGTCTGCATGGAGATCCCAATAATGGGAATAATGGTTTAATAAAAAGAATAAAACTTTCACTTCTGAATAGCTCTGACCAACCAGGCTGGTTTTGTTAGTGAATATACAATAAATTTATTTGATTGTCTATGGCTAGCATGGAGAAAAAACTTCTGTTTGGGTCAGTATATTGTAGTTAGAACTAATCTCAATTTAATAGAATGAAAATTTGTAGTCATATACTATTATTATCATCATAATTTTCATTTTCATTCTTATTTAAATAAGAATAATAATAATTACTATTATTTTCATTGTTATTCCTTATCATTATTATCAGAAGAAGTATTCCAGTATAAAGTAAGATGTATAACTGGAAAAGCAATAAAAACTTCCTTTCCCCCCTGCCCCTTTCACTTAGAATGCCTTCTTTGGGGTGAAGAAAGAATAAAGCAGAAGAAGAAAAAAAAAGTTGTCAAAAGACAAGTCTACAAACTCTTCATTATCCCTAAAATCCTTATTTCAAAATCTTACAATTTACAGCATTGAGATGCTGCTCTGTCTTCCCAGTTAGGTTTTTTGTAAATGCACAGTAATATGAGATGTGGAAATATTATTTCTCAGTGACAAAATCTCAGCAGACCATTTATTTTCATAAAAATACATTTCACTGATAAAATTTGAACACACATTCACTCTTTAATCACATTGGAATAGAAAATAATGGAGATTACCATTTTCTTTCAAGGGATTTAATATTTTACCTTCGTGATTCATTTTTCTGTTCCAGAGGGAGACCAAAGTCAACTACAAGTTCTTCTCAGAGACTCACCTCACCACAGAATAACTGGATGTGGCTGTATGTATGAAAATGCATTTTCACAACTGCAAATCCCTGAAGCAGCTCTGCTACCTCTCTGAATGTTACAGCCCAGTGTCAGCTTCTAACTGAGATCAAATTTTGTGGCTTGGACAGTCTGAAATACTCCTAAATATGAAGCACCAGAAATCCAAGTCAGTATTTATTTTGGGAGCGATCGACACAAAACATAACAAAAATCTCCAAAATTTTCAGGTTCCTTTAATTGTGTTACAGTTACTGGAATGCACTGGGAAAAAAATGTAAATATTTTGGCACTTTACAATCTGTTTCCTGTTGGACCTCTTTTATCTAAATGTGGTACTTTGTGCTATTGATAAATAACTCAGCCTTAGTGAGCATTGTTACAAGTTCTGTTTAATGAGTTAATAATTGTCCATTTCCAAGTGCAAAGGTTTAATCCATTTTTAAACTTGCTACAATGATTGTATTAATGCCTGTGTGTGGAAAAATGACGGGAGACAAGTCCATTCTATAATGTCAACAAGTCTCAGTTTATTCCAAGCACGCATGTACAGTTATACCCATTATAATGAAGCTCATGCATATTGCAAAACTTAGGCTCATCATTGGTGTATCAAAAACAGGTCAACCCCACCTCTGGGGCTTTCTATGCTTGCTTTGTTTTCCCTTACACTTATCCTTTTGCTGACCATTCTACTGTTGGGAACCAGCTTACCCAAGGACGTATGATATTGTTGCTACATCTGCTATTGCTGCACTGTGCAATTTTCAGCTACTGTTTCACTAACTGCACGTAGTCATGTCCTTTCTCACGAAGCCATTCATCCACAAAACTCTCCATACTTCCCCTGTTTAGTTGTCCACATCTTTTGAATCATGCATTCTACCAACATCTGAAGACAGCTAAACAGGCAGGGCAAGATCAGCAAGAGTAGTAAAACAACAATCAATATTCCCACTGCATACATAATAAAAGTTCTTAGCCAAGGACTGATCCCTAAGCTTTTAAGCCATTCTTCTATCCCCAGACCATCTTCCTCTTTTAATTGATAAAGGCCCTGTTGTAGTTCTTTAATCTTAGCATGTATTGATACAGAATGATCAGAGAGATTCATGCAACACATTTCTTCAAATTCCTCACATCCATGTCCCTGGACTAACAACAAAAAATCAATGGCTGCTCTGTTCTGCAGTACAGCATGATTTACACTTTGTACATCCATAGCAAGCATAGATAAAACCTCTGATGTTTTGTTAAGTTCATCTTTAGTCCAGCATCCCAATTGTTCAGCTAACACCATAGCCTTTCTGGCAGCTCCTCCCGGTAACAGGGTTGCCACTATTACCTGTTTCAAAGTACTCCAAAATTGAGGTTGTCCAACCTGATCACATTGTAAGTCATGTACATCACGCCTCTTCCTTGTCTTCCCTAGCCTGTCCCATTGCATTAGCAAGGATATATTAGGATGGAACAGTGCTAGTTTTCCTAGGTAACAGGTTCCCCCTTGTGGTTTTACTGGTATTCCATTCCAAGCTCTATCTCCACAGATCAAAAACACACCCTTTGGCAACCTTAAGGGTTTGGTTATCTTGGAAGCATCACAGTTAGAATATAACTGTGATGCTACCCTGCCTGAGTCCAGTGAAGAGTCTAGAGAAGCCCATTTGTCTCTTGGGTTATTTAAATTCTGCAAATTCAATGGAACAATGCTAAACCTTCCTCCCTAAACTAGCATTAGCACTTCCAAAGAGATCTAATTCTTCTGGTGGAGATTGTAATGTTTATTTAAGTGACAGTACCAACAAACATTGCTTATAGCCATCTTGTTGAGCTTCTGTGTAATCAATATTCTTGTCTGGCCCTTTCACCTTTGCAAAATTCTTGCAAAGCATTTGATCCTTTATCAACCCGCAAAATTCCTCTGGTCTCCAGACAGGAACACCTGTTAGGCAGGTACAAAATGGATTTGTCACTCCTCCCAAGCTAAGACATAACAAACTTTGATTAGTCATGTTAGCCAAGGTTACCGAAATATTTTCTCTGGGCTGATTAAATTGCATTAGTCCACAACAAGGATTAGTCAAAAGAACAAGATAGATTATCCACCTTATCACCCTCATGATTTCTTCCGCTTGGATTTTAATTTCAATGCCTGCACATTTTTAATAAGCTTATCTAATCTTCTGTCTGGATTTCCTACTACTGGTTTTCCTAAATAAGATCTTATAGATACCTTCACTTGCTTTTGGCACCTTGTTGATAAGATTTTTGAATTTGCCTGCCTAATTAACCTATCACAAGTGTGTTCTGCTTCCCACCTATAAAAAGCTAATAACTTTTGTTCTGGTGCTTCAAATAACTGTAAAGCTATAGCAACTCCTAAGCCTGTGTCTCATATTAAATCTCTCTGCCAAGAATCTCCTCGTTTTTGAAAGTCACAATGTTTACACCAAAAATGTCGTTTTAAAAATACTTGATCTTCCCAGTATGTTTTTCCACAACTCCCACAAACAAAAGCAATCCAACTGTTACAATTAAAACTCCCACAACTAAGACACTCAGGATTCTTTGGTCCTGGAATATGAACAGTCTGTAAAGCTTCAATAGCTGTAACAATTGCTGTAAAAGTTGACTCTGAAGGCAGAAGTTGATCAATCACTAGGGAAAGTCCTCTTATCTCTTGAAGAAGAGGTCCCACTGTGCGAATCAGCTTCTCTTAAATTCTCCTCTGGTCCTGATCCGTCAGGCGAGCTAAGAGATGACTCATCCAGAGCTGGTTTGGTCCACTTTGCTGGTACCCAGAGTGAACCTGTAGGGGTGGAAACACAAAGATATCCCCTTCCCCAATATAGGACCTTTGCTGGGTTCTGCCAAATACCTGTTTTAGGGTCCCTATACCTGACCCATACTTCTTTGCCCTTTTTGCTCATTTCTTTTTGTCCATAATGTACCATCACAGGTAGTGCCTCTGAATCCCCAAATATACACAAATGATTAAGAACAAAGAGCACCTTCATTAGCCTTTCCTGAACATGTCCAATCTCCCTATGTTTTTCCAAGTATCTCTTCAAAGTTCCGTTTGCTCTTTTTACAATTGCTTGTCCAGTGGGAGAATGTGCTATTCCTGTAATGTGCTTAATCCCCCATGATTTTAAAAATCTATTTACCCTGCCAGGACCATTGTCTGTCTTGATCTGCTTTGGCACTCCATTACTGCAAAACAACTACACAAATGCCTTATAACATGTAATGCTTTTTCCCCCGCTTGAGCCATTGTCCAGAGATATTTACTATATGTATCTATAGTAACATGAACATATTTCAGGCGACCAAAACTATTTACATGAGTAACATCCATTTGCCAAAGTTCATTAGATGAAAGACCTCGTGGGTTAACTCCCCATCCCATGCTATGACCCCCATTATGATGACTACAGATGGGACAAGCTCTAACTATAGCAGTGGCATTTGCATGGGATATTCCAAACTCCCATTGTAACCCTTTTGCATTCTGGTGAAACATAGAATGTGTCTCCCTAGCAAGCATTTGCCCTGATAAAGGAGAAGTTTGAGTCACTGCGATGAGTTTATCTGCCCCAGCATTGCCCTCTCCTAAGCCAGTCTCCCATTTGTGGCTTCTTATATGGATGATAGCATAAGGATGTTCTCGGATTTTTACTGCTTTTTGAAGTTGTATGAACAGTTCAAATAGTCTCTGATTCCGTACTTCTTTGATAGCAGCATCCTCTATTCTTTCCACAACACCAACTACATACAAGGAGTCTGTAACAATATTCAAAGGCCCCTTCAGGACTGTCAGAGCCCATGCCACAGCTGCTAACTCCAAGGTCTGAAGGGTATCTGAGTCATTTGCAGTAAGAATTTCATGATTCCAGACTTCCTGCTCCTGCCATGTAATTGCTGCTGTTCTTGACCTTTTCCCTGCATCTGTGTATGCCGTTATTGCACCAGGAATCTGCTCCTTTTCTCGCTGTGGCCGTACCATCCAGCTCAATTTTCCAATCCACTGTAATGGAGGATTTTTAATACTTTCAGTTATGACAGCACCTCCTACTCCTAGCAGAGCTTCCTGCAGTTCTTCACTATTGACCAAATACCATTGTAAAGAGTCCTTTTTCATAGGAAGCTGTATTAGTTCAGGCTCTCACCCATCAACCTGCAAAATTCTCTCACGACCCCGCTTTAACAAAGCTGCTAATAGTTCAGTTTTTTGAATTAAAGTCTTTGTTTGCTGAAGTGGAGGGGATAGCCATTCTAACACCCTTATCTCCCTCGTTTTTGTTTCTAGCTGGGTTAAAGCCCCTAGCAAATGTTTTTCACCACACCATATAGTGAGATTAAGAGGAATTCCCAGTATTCGTCGATGTACACGACCCTGAACTACACAATCTGTAATTTGCTGAAGAGTTCTTTTCTGCTGAGGACTAAGGGTCACCGGTGTCATTGGGTCTGTGCCCTTCAACAAGGGTCTAAGAGAATCCAACAGTTCATTCGGAAGTCCCACTATAGGTTTAAGCCATTGTAAATCACCTAGTAATTTCTGAGCATCATTTAAAGTAACAATCTGTGTTTTCAGTTCTAATTTTTGATGTGTTACCAAGCTTTGAGACAATGTCCATCCCAGGTATTTCCAAGGAGGAGTTAACTGTATTTTCTCTGGGGCTACAACAAGCCTAAAACATCCCAGCAAATTTTGTACATGTTTAACCTGTTGACTCGTAAATGACTTAGGTTGAGCAATTAAAATATGATCCATATAGTGGTAAATAATAGCCTGTGGCCACTGTTGCCTCAATGGTTCTAATGCAGAATCTACGTAAAGTTGACACAAAGTAGGGCTGTTAGGCATGCCCTGAGGCAAAACCGTCCATTCAAATCTTTGATCTGGACCTTCTCTGTTCAGAGCTGGCAAGGTAAATGCAAAGTGCTTTGTATCCCTGTCATGCAAAGCTATTGTAAAAAAGCAATCTTTGAGATCTATTATCA